CAAAACTACAGTATTGGCTGACAGTAGAATTAGCTGTATGAAAGGAAAATAGGCTAACAGTAATGAAAACACTGCATTGTCTTATATTAATACTTTTATATGTACAACATAGTAAGAGTTCACTCATGTTAACAGCAGTTGCAAACATGGTCTTGCTTGCATTTGTGTACCTAGATATATGTGAAAACGTAACAGCACTGTTGCTCTTTTGTTTGAGTTGTTGTATTATAGGATTTTATGCCATTTAAGCCAGTTATCTATAGTGGTAGAGTACAAGAGGTACAGACTTTTGTTTGCCATGTTGCTTCTTGAGCCTTCAGAAAATTAGGGCATTCCTGCAGCATCCTGCAGCAGGGAGTTCTAAGGATGAGTTAGCCATGCACAAAGAAGCCCTTCCTTTGACTCCAAGCTCACCACCTGCTGCTTTCAGTATATCCTACCTCATACTTTTATTGCAAGAGACAGTGAAAAATGGTTTCTGTGTCACCTCTTGCATGCTACTCTCATTCTTAACTTTTGTTATCTCCTCAAAATACTACCTTTCTTTTTTTTCCAAAGCAATTTCAGCTCCCAAAACAATAGTCCTCTTATGACCTTTCATCATTTCATGAAGCTTTTCAGTGGAGTTCTTGTTTAATAGAGTCCAACAAACTGAACAATTAAAAACATGGATTTGAATGCTTTCCCATCACATGGGCCTGCAAGCTCAGGAACACAAGCATTGCCTGTTTCATGTCATTTAGAAACTTTTGAGAGAATGGTGCCAAAAAATCCTGCCTTCTCTGGAGTAAGTGATCATTCTAACTTCAGTCTTTGTAGGTGCAGCTTTCATTCTCCTGTATGACTTCTCACTGATTATATTTTGTAAAGGACTAGCAGCTCTGCTTAGCCTTTTCCCAGGAACATAACGGAATAATGAGATCTTTAGAAGTGTAACACTCTTTAGATAGACACATGCAAGCAGCAAGAAGAGAGATGCCAGTTCTAGCTGCACTGAAAATTCAACCAGACAATTTTAATTATATTTTATCAACAGCAGTGATAATGTGTTAGGAACATCCTATTATGATTAATTATATTTGCATACTATTAATACATATTAATGTTTATCTCTGCATTTTGCCCAACACAATATGATAGAAGAAGAATGCTTGATGGTGTGATCTGTGGTGGTATATATGTATTATCATTATGAATATGAGATGCTTTTATTGTTCCTAAATAGTGCACACGCCAAACAAATGCCAAGAAAGCATTTATGGCTCAGTATTCCACCAGTTATCCTTGATATGCTTAATATTTGCTGGGAGGGTAGAAGTGTTAATCAGACAATAATAGCTTGGTGTCCAAGTGTGAAGGCAAAAGGTGCATAAAAAAAACAATTTATGCTGTAATTCCCCATCATGTACACATCCCCACCATCTTCTGCATGTGTCAGTCTATGTAAGATACATTGCTCTCGGAGTCACACTTTTATGTGTATTTGCTTGCAAATACATATGTTACTACACATACGTAATCACATTTTGGGCTTGAGTCACCCGTCTGTCTTGTACCACTTTTTCAACAATAAGCTTCCACTGGAAAGAGCAATAATGCTGCCTTGGCTTAAAGCTGGGTAGGGCAACATAATTCGGACCCTTTGTTAGCACTTTGGAATTGCATGAGGCTCTCAGCTGCTTCACAGTGTTTGAGTTCCTAAGCCAAACTGGGAAGTTACAGATTCTGCAGCTGTGAGCAGAGTGCCTTGAATTCAACTAGGTTTTGTTAGGTCTTTTGCTTAGACGTGGTCTGTTAGTAAAGGAATTTCCATTGATGTACTTTAGGCCTGGTTTCAGAAAATGTTACCTGGAATAACTACATTGTTAAATACACAGTAAACCCCTAACATACATGTTGCCTTCATACAAAATGAGACTTCATATGACAACTTACATTAATTCTCAGATGTTGTTCATAGTTTTACTTATCTTATTCTTACTTGCATACAACTACAGGTGAAGTCCTAGTTAGCAATTTTGCTTAATAAAAACCTATGATATGATGAAACATAAATTTTATTGAGTGATCCAGCAGTTTGTATCTGTTCCAAAAACTGCATCAGCAGACACTGCTTTGAACATTACTTTTCATGTCCACCAGAACTGGATTAATGTATTTCTTTTGGATGTTAAATTAGGATATTATATAAGTACCATTGGTATTGCTGTGGCTGAAAGAAAGTCCAGTTTTAGGCAGCACAGTACAAAGAGGTGTGACAAATTAAGGAGGATCCAGCCAGGGATTGTCCAGATAATCCTTGTCTACAAAACACAAGTTCCTTTCAAATACTGAAGAGACTGAATCTTCAGTTCAAATATTGAAGATACCTTAAAAAGAGATTAGAGGAAGGGAAATAGTCTCTCAAGTTATAAAGAGTTGTTATAAAAGAGGACGGTATTCCTCTGTTTTTCATGTCTACCAAAGGTAGAAAAAGAAAAAAATCAGCTTAATTTGCAATAAATATTTATCTTGAGTACCAGGGAAGAAACTGAGCTATAAGACTGTGAAGCACTGGAATGGAGAGATAGGGGTATTGTGAAACAACCTTCATCAGAAGCCTTTTGGAATAGGTTTGACAAATAGATGTCAGGGATGGACTAGATATATGTGCGCTTTCCTCAGTTGAGGAGGTGAACCACATCAGTAGCTCCCAAAATAGGAAACCATCCCCCAGAGGTGGGGAGGTTGTAACTAAGCAGAGAGAGATTTGCTGGACAGTCACTGAGAACAGAGCAGAAAGTGCATCTAGGAGGTGGCAGTTTGGTGCAGAAATAGAGCAAGGAAGGAACAAGGCTGAGCATCACAGATCACTGGAGCAAAGGAAATGTGTGGCTGCCCAAAGCTGCAGTTCAGCCATTGTCTCCCAGCCCCTGGCTTTTTTGATTACATTCCGCTAGGAGGACCCTGCTGAGAGGTACCAGCATCGCTTATCCAACCTCCTCACTCTCCTTTTGCTTTCAGCACTGCTCGCTTCTTCCCCTGGGTAGTTTTCTTACTGCCTGCCATCTTCCAGTGCTATCTTCTCCTATATGCATCTTCTTTGTCAGCTCCCCAGCTGGTCCCACCTGGAACTATCCTGCAAACTGGCCTGGTTGAGAGAAGCTTCACAGGAGTGCAAGAAATAAGAACAGAAAACCCTATAATTTCTGTATTCTAAGATTATGACTTTTGTGGCTCACCTCTGTGTTGTCTTAGATTCCTTCTTTTGTGACTTTTTACTGTATTGCACTTTTCAAATAAACCTTCCAGGCTTTTTAAACACTAAGAATGCTGTGAGTCTAAAGCATTAATGCACTTCTTTTCTTTTCCTTTTTAATAACAGAACCTGATAAAGAAACAAGTGCTTCAGAGCCCTGTGAGCCTCTTCCAGAGACACCAGATCTAGATCCTTCATGGTACAGTATTTCTCTTAATCCATAGCCTTAATCAGATGCTGAACCCAAACATAAAATATCAAAGTGTATATATACTTACAACATTTACTGGTTTTTATTTGCTGTTTTTCATTATAGAAGATGCCTGCTTACTTACAGAGAAGCTAGTAATGAGTACAGGAAGATCATTGAAGAGTCATGCAACCAAGTAGGAATTTTGCTAGGAGTTTTGTCATTTAAATGGAAGCACAGTGTTGCAGTATAAATATCTGAGAGCTGGAAGTTCTTTTATGACTGAAGTGTGGCTTCAATGTGTATTGCATGTTTTTAATAAAAAATAGCTGGTGTCATTGAAATAAATACAAAAGAAAAAGAGTAATATAGAATAAAAACTTTTCATGTTGTGCCCCTAGTACTTATTGCCTTCCAAAGCATCAAGATCCTCCTGTTAAGATACTAAACATACTTTATGCCTACTGAGTGGGAATCCAAGATGCTCAATACCTTCTAAGATCAGGTTCTGAACATGCCTGGAGAGTTTTCTTTAAATGCCAAATTATTGTCCCTTTCAGAAAAAATCAACTACAAACTTGACACCTTATTCATAGGGCTATCAGTGATTTTAGCAGCTGTGCTTAACAGTTGGTGTTCAACTGTAGCTTAAATAGAATAGCTCCGACTTTGGTGGCACATTATGATGCGATTTTTACCTAATCTATAACGCAGGTTGGACCCAAAGCACAACTGTTTGTTTAAAATCTGGTTGAGTACACTCATGAAAGTGCTGAAAGGCTGTACAACCAAAGCATTTGAAATGTCATTGACTGTCTCAAGTGCAACGTTAATCTACAGGCACAGCTGAAATAACTGTATTTAACAATGAAAGTACATCTGGTAGAATACCTTTACATCACATTTTCAAAAGTGAACACGAAATTTCTTTTTGAGCAAAGCCTGTGTTCATTCACACAATCAGGTAAAAAAATTCTGCTTCAATTCTTTCTGATAAATAATCTGAAGCACTGATTTTGGACTGTGTGTGGAGAACTGTCTCCCATTTCAAGCTGATGAAATTCTCGACTGTGGATTTCCCATACAATCCACAGCAGTCAGACTCCTGTTGTCTTCACAGCCCTCAGAAGGCATTTTCCAGCTGCCATTGCTATTGGTCCAAAGAAAAGTTAGAGGACAGAAGATGGAGGTTATCACTTTGCAAAATATATGTATAAGCAGGATTTAGAACCTTTAATTTTTATCTAGTGCAAGCTTTCATAATTTCATGTGTTAGAAAATCTGTTGTTTCCAACCACATAAACAGAGCTTTCTGAATCCAAACAGTCAACCATTTCTTTCTTTAAAAAGAGGTTTCCAGATTCAGCATTTGAAACAAGATCCATTAGACCTGTAATCAGTTTTTATGGGAGTCTTTGAGCAAACAATAGCTTTTGCCATAGTAATAACTCAATTCACAGCTTTCTTCAGGATTGCAGTTTGAGTAACTGGTTGGCACGTGACAATAGAATTTCTCCCTGTTTTAAGGCATGGTAAAAATGTTTTCATTAAATGTTTAATTAAGTAGCTCATTTTTGAGTACACATAATGTACACATTTTGATGTGTATATGCAATGTAACTACAATACCTCAATAATTTTATTCTTTCACTTAGAGGTCTTTATCATCTGAACACCAAGCTTATTACTAAATGAACACTTCTTGGTGTTTTACAAACCTGAAAAGTTGTATAAGTATGTTCCTATGTGTAATTATGCACACACATGAAGATACAAATCTCTTTGCTGAGTGTTAAAAAGAGGTGAACATTTTATGAAAACCAGGAAGATGATAAACAGGACCATGAATTTAATAGAAACAAAAGGAGTATCCAGTCTACCCCTTATATTTTAATGCTATTGACATAAATATATATACATATCAAACCAGCACAATTTTGAAAAAATATCTGAAAATCACATTAATATGCAAACCCTTCTGATCTTGATAAGTATAGTATGACTGCTTGTAAGAAGTTGCTATTTTTAGATAATTGGAATTTCATTTGACAAATTTTGACAAATTTGCCAAAAGAACTTGTCAAATTCTTTTGGCAATATTGATCAGAATATTGCCAAAATAAATGGTGTATTTTGATTTATCCTTCATAGTAAGAATAAATAACACAAACCAAGCAGACATTCTAGAAAAGACAATTCTCAATTTTTCAAGGAGGACAGGTTTTTATATTCTTGATGGTTTTGAACCTCATATACATTTCTGCAGCAACTGACTATTCTGTGTACGTTTCCCAAAAGTTATTACGCAGTTATATTAAACAGTGTCCATGATAATCACCATTTTTTGCCAATCTGCATATGTTACTAAGTGATAGTTTTTATATAGTTGTGGAAAAAATTGTCACAGGTTAATCCTCTAGAGCATTAACTCTCCCATACTTTTTAATTATACTTTTTAGTCCTAAATCTTTTGATGAAAATAAGGGAAGTTTTATCATCCTGTAATAATGTACATGCAAGTTGTGTTCCCTAGCATCAGGAAGCTTTGGGAGAAAATTATCTTTATTGAGCTAAATTCTCAGGCATTGTTCTGCTCCTCACAGACTTTTTCAGTGGGAAAATGAAGGCTCTGCTTTCTCTTTCAAATTAATGGGGCAAGGAGGCTAGGCAGAATCTTCCATACTTTATTGTTTGGACAAGATCCTGGAACAAACCTGTCAGCTGTTAGACCAGTCCAAATTCCATGGGTCACGGGCAGGTCTTGGTCTGTCACCACATGTGATCCAGTGTGAAGTGCAGTGCTCACTGATACTTGGCTGCAGTAACAACTCAGTATTTCTTTAGAAGAGAAGTCACCACTTTCTGAATTGCCAATGCTTCTTCCAACATTTGTTTGGTGATCTCTTGTCAGACATAGTCCGTCTGAGAGTAGGGCTCAAATTAGTATAATGAAACTTTAGTCCTTTGTCTCTTTACATGAGAGATGCTCTAATTTCTTTAAGGAGCTCCCATATGGAATAGAATTATTCTCTACTCTGCCTTGTTCATTATCATTGCAACCCTTCCTCCAAGTTTTTCCAGAATGCCCCTAATCCCCTAACCTTTAAGACTTTGCAATCAGAAAGGAGGACTCCAGAGAGAATATGAATTGCCGTTGTAAATTTTAGTGTGCCTGAGAAATTATAGGCATAGTTTAATGAAGTTAGGAAAGCAGGTAAATTAATTTAGCCTATAATGCCAGTGGTCTGTTTCAAAACAAAAGCTTGTCAAACACATTATAGTAGATGGGTCTCTGAATAGTTCTGAGGTGCAATATCAATGTCTCTAAAATCTCTGTTTTAAGGTATACAAGACTGGCAATTAAGACTGCTTTTTGAATAGGGTTTTAGTAGGTTTCACTGTGGATCTGTCAGATGGTATTGGCTAACAATCCATAGCAGAGGGGAAGGTTATATCTCAGGAAGAATTTTGTTTATGAAAATCATGTTTTATGGCCATTAATAGGGAATATCTTGTTAATTATGATACTATACAAGGTATTTCACCTATGAGGCCACTTAGAAAATTAATCTTTGAGTCACAGAAAGGTTATTGCCTTTCTGGAAGGAATCTATTCATCTCTAAATAGGCCATCCAAATATAGACTAAGAAATACACTCTATATAATTGCCTAGAAATAGATGGAATAAATAAGATTGATGACAGGCATTACTAAAGCCACATTTTAGTTTACTGCTATGAAGAAGTAGAATATAACTGAAAAAAACAGTAATATACATGTAAAAATACAAGAAATAGATTAAAGTCTTACATAGTTAAGCGAGATTCAGCTATTACACATAAGGTGAGAACTCATCAGCCTTCAGAAGTGGTGTACATCAAGGCCTTTGTCCTGAGATTCAGTCAGGTATTTCTAAAGACAGATCCTACAAAGAAAAGAATTAGAACAATTTTTTTTTTTTTTCTCCAAAACTGTGTCTTGTTTGACAGCATAACTTCATAGTACCTCTATATTTGCCATATGCTTACAAGCAGATAGAATGTATAAGCTGTCTTTGAAGATAAATAAATATGTTAATAAATATTTCCATTTGTGAGTCTTCTTTTGACATAGGCATAACACTGAAGAGTGATGCTGAGCATGAAGGAGCCCAGCCGCTGTGATGGTAAAGTGGATTGCCAGGAGTTTAATCTTAGGAGACAAACTTTTCTTTCTAAACATGTAAGGTTTAGTTTTTAAAACTGCAGAATAAAAGCCCAGAATGGCTGCTAGTCAAGCGAGGTCTCAAGCCCATTTAGCAAAGAAGAAAGAAAAAAGATGTGAGTGTGCTTTTAATTGAAAGTCTGCTGTTTAAACTTAGCTCACCTGCAGCATGTGGGAGGAATTAGTCTCAATAAATGAAAAAGCAATTTAGTAACCAAAATCCCCTGTCCCTATCTCTGCTGAATTAGGTTTGTTTCATTTGGGTTAACACTGTTTGTTTCATTGCCACACTAAAGGCTGACAGACAACTCTGCTACAAGAGCAGCTGACTTAGGTGAGATCTGAAGCACTGGTGATGGCCCTACCTGGAGTCTCTGGGAGTTAAGGGTGTGCAGTCCCGAAGGAATTCCTCAGCTGTCTGTAAGATTGTGGTAGGGCAGGAGGGAAAGTCTAAAAGTGTTCCAGCAGCTTCCCATTCTTCAGTCCTGCAGCCTGGCTGCCTGCAGCATGGCTGGGCAGAAGGGTAGACAGATTTTCACAGACTGGCAGTGGATCCTGGGTCACACTCAGCTTGGAGCCCAGATTGGACTGAGATCTTCTTCCCCAGACAGACTGATGAGAGGTAAGCCTTGTCTGTAGGAGGCAGCTTCTTCCAATACCAGCAGTAATAACTGGCATGTTTAGCCTCTGGGACATACATGCCCCTGCTACAGCAGTGAATCACCTTTGAAAGGTTGATTTCTCCTACACTGAGCTATTCTATCCCCACCAACATTGTTCCTCGGTCTTCCTGGACAGTTTCAGAAAACATTGCCCCATCTGGTCACAAGTTTACTGCTTGTAATTGAAGTGGCTTGAATCTGAACTGAACACAGCAGTGCTTCTAAAGACGTCTTCAAAGAGCCCTCCCTGAAGCATGGTGGTCACTGTTATTTTCCCCTGTTTCTTTCATAAAAGTTGTCTGCCTCCCGGCTCCTCAGCATCAGTTGGCCGAGAAAATTACACACTCTCCCTTTTCTGTGCGAGTACCAGGAAATCAGTTTCCCTGGCATTGCTCTCTGCTTTCTAGGCAAGCTCATGCTAGGTTCACAGCACAGATTAAGACGAAATTTATTTATGATAAGGGAACTTCAGGATTACCTGGCTTCTGTCTCCAGGCCCCACTCTCTCACAGCAGCCTCTTTAACTTTTGCATTCTGAATTGCAATGAGCTTTCATGTCTGCTGAGTCCTGATACTCTCAGAGGAGCTCTGTGATATTAGAATATTTTGATGAATTAGAGCCTTTGCTTTTATTTCGCCTTCATCAGCCTCTGTTCTGGGAGAGCAGTTATCACCAATGCATTCCCATTTTGCAGTGCATTTGGCAGAAATGGCTAAGCAACTGCTTGAGACGGGGACAGTTAAACAGAAAGGGGAGAGGATTTATGGCACTTTAAATTCTCCCTGTCACACTGAAATCCAGCACTTGCATTCTCTGTTTACATGGGGGCAGGGGAGGGTGCATCTGGCCTTGCCAGCAACAGAGCAGACCTTTTGCACAGAGCCAGCGATGCGTGGACACCAGTGCAGGCTTATAAGATGTAGCTGCTCCTGAGCTGGTTGTGTGAGCAGCTCCCTTATGTGGCAATGTGTTGGGTTTGCTTTTAAATAATGGCTGTAGGTCAGCCAAGCGGCTGTGTACTTGCCATGACACCGGAGCCTGGGGCTTCACAGAAGCAGTGCAATCAGTGCTGGCACTGCATACTTACTCTGAATAACTAAGGGGGGACACCACAAACAAGACTCACTGATGTGCCTGTAGGGGAAGTTCTCATTAGCCAGACAGTTGAAAACTCTTGTGTGAAATCAGCGTGGACCAAGCCAGCTCAGTCTCTTGAAACACAAACTTGCCGGCCAGCAAAGGTGGCTCTGGCAGGGGCAAGAAAGATGTCAAGGATCACTGTGAATATTTTAAGTGCATTAGGAGCCAGTTAAACTGTAAGATGTTGGGACTAGGAACCATCTTTGAGATAACTTGTGCATAACAGGCTTGGCACAGTAGCTGGGGACCAGGAGGGCTGTGCTGGCACAAGCTGTGCCCATGCACACATGCCAAACTGCCTCAGAGCAGGTGATGTTCAATCAGAGTTTGCTGGTTGGGGTTACTGGTGTAAGTCATGTTCCAGGGCTTTGCTTTCCTCCTCCTTCCTAATTAGAAAATTTCAGGATAGTGGGACCTGGCTAGAAAATCTGTGCCAGAAAACTTTGTAGTTTATTCAAAGTAAATAAAAAAACATGCTGTGAAAGTGAACAAAGTAAAAGAATAAAAAACCTAAACTAATATATTTGCAAGAAGCAACCTCCTCTGTTTCTCCCAGATCCCACAT